GGTACGTCTAAGCATTAAAAGATGTAAAGCTTCTTTTTAAATGATTTTTTAAATGAGAAATTATAAAATGATATTTTATCTTTACTGACCAAAATTCACATCTGCTGACTTTCTAAAGTTCTTTCTAAATTTTCTGATATTATCTTTCCTTATCTGCTTCTCATCTTCCCTCTCCTTTCCCCCCTTCTTCCTCCCTCTCTTCCCCTTTGTCTTCTTCCTTCCTCTTTCCACCTCCATCCCCTCCTGTCTTTCCTCTCTCCCACCTTTCCCTGCCCTGCCCTGTACTTTCCCTTGTCTCCTGCTTTGCTGGCACCATCAACTTGGACTTAGTCTGCTTTCTGGGTGAACCAGCACTGGCAAACCTCAGAGAGGAGGGAGGAGGAAGTCTAGGAAACAAAGAAAAAGACTAGATCTTTGCATTAAGTGCATCTCAGAAGTGAGGTTATAGCAAAGCCCCCTCCCCATTTCCTTGCTAGTTGTCTCAGCGCTTAACTAAGGCACCCTGGTCAGTACATCATCAGGATTTTGTGAAGCTAGAACATTGAAATCATTAAGCAAATCTGCTGCTAACTCTAGAGGCCATACAAGGTTAGCCTTATAAGGAAACCAAAAGATAAAGCCACCTACATGGTATGATCTAAGGGATGCCAAAATAATATCTCTTCTCCAGGGATATCTCTTCAAAAAGAAAGGCCGTGAAAGGATTGCAATCTTTCAGAATATCCAATAAAAATGCAAACATCCCCCAAGAAAATTCCTTTTAAAGTCTTGTGTGGTAGTATTTCAGTAGAGATTTACTTTCTCAAAGTGACAGCTGATCAGGTAGAAAAACCTCCTAGGTATGGGACAAAAGATAAAATGAGAAGGCGGTAGATGTCATAAAGAAAGATGAAAGAGTGACAAATTTCAACCATTTCAAAGTTGTGTTGGGGTTGACCCTGTTTTCATTCATTACCAGGTGCTCTAGATCCCAGTCATATGAATAAAGAAAATTCTTGGTCAGTTTTCCAACTTCCAAAGGAATTGGGAACTCCTACTGCCCTAGTGCTATACTATGAGATGTTATTGACAATGAAAAGTTTCATTCTGTACTAAGCACATTACAGGTTATATTTAAGAAAATGTTGCAAGCTTTAACACAACCATACGAATAATATGTTGAACAAAACAGACATCAGGGTGAGACTAACCGAAAGGGGTAACTGGACCTTGCACCAGAGATCTGTGGAGTACTCTGTCCTGTTGGTTATTTTCTAGGGCAAGAAGAGGGAAAGGTAGTAGCTTGAGTTGCTTAAAGATGCAACCCTACCAGCTTTAGGGAAGAGGATGCTGGCAGAAACCTAAAATGTTTAGATTGTACATTTACCAACAAAGTAAATTATGATTCTTAGTGGAATGTACAAGGTAGAATTTCATTTAATTCAACCTTTCCTTTTTTTCTTCCTAAGCTAGAAATCAACATATGTCATTTATTCACATAACTGAGCATGAATACTTTTTATTGTGTAGTCTTTTCATATCTGTTAAATAAGCATATTTATTTTCTTTTCCTTTTGAAATATTCATTTGCCTAGTTAACAAATCTCATTTACTTAAAATGTTTTCTTAACAATTCTAAAGCCTCCATAAATTTCATCATATTGTGAGTGTAAGAAGGATTAAAGTGGTGGGGGAAATATGACAAGAGTTTGGATGTGATTACCTTCCTATTCTTATTTGACTATTTTAAGATATTAAAACCACTTTAGGCATTTTGACAAAAGTCAGTGTAGCTCTTTTTTCCACTCAAAAAAGAATAATTCTCTATGTTTAGACAGTTTGAAATTCGTACTTAAGGACATTGAATTTTGACTTTGCTCTTTAGTGGAAGTGGCTGGGGAAAGAAAAGTCTCTGTGTTTACACACTGAATAAATAAACCTGAAAGCAAAGCACTGTTCAGCACTTTAGTCCATGAACTTTTAAGATATCTATCTTGGCTGCTCCACAATTCCCCTGCTAATTATCTCATCTTCTTGCTCAGGTGATTCCAGTTCTGTTTCTGGAAAATTATTTGATAAACTAAACTATTCATAAACCAACCAGGAAGAACAGATAAAAATTCCTGAGTGGTTAAAATCAATTCTATAAAATCCATACACTGTAGATCTCTTTGTATGTGAGCCCTTGCTCAGTCCCTACACAACTCTAGCAAGTTTACCTGTTCAGTTTCCATATTCACAGATGTTTAAAAATAATAAATCAACATAAAATTACTGCTGCTACAGCTTATTGTTATTATTATTATTATTAACCTTTATTGAGTGTTAATAGCTACCAGACACTGTGCTAAACCTTTTACACACACTATCTCACTAAATCTTTGTGACAAACCTATAGAGTTAAATACCATTTACCCCTCCATTTTATAGTTTCATAAACTAATGTTTAGACTCTAAATTTCAGAAGGACTAAGTAATTTGCCAAAGACAGGCATATAGGTAATAGTGTGAAGGGCTATGTGACAACTTGATTTGGAAAGAGTAAAGAAATACAAAGGAAAAGAAAATACACAAGGTTGGAAAGCATGACAATTTGGAAGATTTTAATTTCAAGATAGACTATATCTCTCAGTAACTTCCAGTGGCAACATGGTGTTACAACAGGGTAAACTAGTTGGTTTATGTAAGTATGACTCCAAATAATTAGAAAATAGATTAAATTATGTTAAAAATCCTCTACTTAGGAATGACAAAATATAACATATGCTATAAATACTTCTCTAATTTTTTTCTGAAATTGAAATGCCATTTATTAAATTTCAACTTGATGTACAGTACTGAATCTTCAAACTCATTCTAACGTAAGTATTAGGAAAAGTTTCAATTAATAGTTGTTTCTTAACTAAGCCTAGTACAAATTCAGGTGCTGGAAGTTCTTTCCTTGCTGGATAAAATGAACGTTAACTGTGTGTTTGGCTTCTTAAAGGAAAGGAAGGCTTAAGTTAACTGAAAAATTCACATAAATAGAACACATCATTCCCTGACGATAGTGGTATTTTTATGTGTGGTGTGTTTCTTAAAAAATAAAACATTGAAAGTTAGGTAGGGAATAAACTTTATTTGCAAAGGATTTTATTTTACTTTTCAAAGCATCTGCATTCAGGTTCAGTTAGTTCAGTCTGTCAATTTGCTGTGGTACGGACCTATTCCATTACCAGGGTTTATCCCATTATATTGACTAATGTGGAATTGAACATTTGTAAATGAGATTTAGGACCACGGCTAACTTGATGTGTGAATTGGTGAGTCCAAATGCTATCCCCAACCCCAGTCCTTACTGGGATGAAAATAACTGCCCCCAAGTCTTTTCTAAAATGGCCATATGGCCCATTCCCAGGGAAGAAATGAGATCTGGCATGAGAAGAGAAAGTGAGATTCTGAGTAGGGTCACTTTCCAAGAGACTAGCCCTCAGTGAGCTTCCTGGGTGCTTCCTGGAGCACCTGAGTAGTTCAGGGAAGCATTATTTAACCCTGGACTAGGATATTCATAGTCAAGGAACCTGCAAGACTACTATAAGTGCCTATCAACAACGTTGGCCTCTCCCACACTTGTACCCTTTTATACCTGTCAATGGTAAAGTTTCTGAGAAAAAATTGCAAGGAGGAGCCTTAAAGACTGAGTAGGTGGGCGGAGGAAGGGGCTGAGGGACTGTAGGATGCTCTCTGAATGAGAATTAAAGAAATGACTCAGTGTAGACAGAGTAAGGGTAGGTTCTGTGAGCAGATATTTAAAAAAATCAAATCCCAAACCACAGAGGTCATTCAGAAATGTTTGCAACTTTTCACAAGGTTAGTGGTATTACTCCCAACTTCCTGGCCAAATATTTATTAAAGTAACCAAGGACTGAGTACATGAGGCTGCCTCACATCAGTGCAGCAATCCTACTTTCCTTGCAGCTCTGAACCATGAGGTACTGTTAAAAAAAAACAAAAACAAAAACAAAAAAACTCTTCGACACTCGAAATAGCTACGTTACAGAGGAGAATTGGAACGTGTTCTGGGAGTGGGTGTGTTTGAGTTCAGTGTGTGGAAAGGCAAGCCTCCACAGCCATTCACACACTTCCCTCCACAGTGATGGGTACGCAGACAGCTGAGCTTCTGGACAAGGTCTCTGAATGGTAATGTACATTTATGAAGATTATTTTCTTAACTATTTTGAAGCATTTTATAAATAATACACATTGTCTGTTGAATGTATACATATACGTGTGTGTGTGTGTGTGTGTGTGTGTGTGTGTGTGTGTGTATGTGTGTATGGCCAACTTTTGCTTGTTTTCTCCTGAGATTGGTCTTGTGTGGTTACTTATATGGCATGATTTCTGAGGTGTCAGAAAGCGCTCACCCCAACCTCCTACCCTAATCACCCAAAAATATATGTTGGGTTGACCCACCACAGAGCCTAAAATCCCCACATTGTTCAAACATTTGATTTAGTCACTGAAAGCAGCTGTTAGACTCCAAGTGTTACATTGGGATGTTAGAAAAACATTAGAAATTAAAGACTATGAAAACAGAAAAGAATATGAAGAACTATCTTCTGGTATAATGCTAAGTTACAAAAAAAAAAAGAATGAAGAATGACATGCACTGTCTGAGCTAGGTGCTCTTTTTAAAAAGTCATGGTGCCAGTGCCAACATATATGCACTAGCTCATGAACCCGAGCCTGTGGTAAAAGAAACCCAGCACTTTTGGGCAGATTTTGCTCTGATTTATGTTGAATGCTTGCTTTCCACAGTTTCTGATCCTCAGCTCCCACTCTCTTCACGGTGTATCTAACTCCTCCCCTTGGTGAGCTCTGGAGGCTCTCAGTGACTTGGTAATCAGTCTTTGCAGGGACCAAATCCCCACCCCCTTGGAAAACTCATGGAGCCTGTAAGCAGCTTTCAGGAAAGACCTCACAAGTACCCACCCAATCTCTCCTGATAGCAAATTTCCAAACCAAGCCCATTTTCTCAAAAGATGGTAGAGGACTTATCAGTCTCCTATATTGCTCTGAAATTGGAGAATGAAATTCTGCAGGCCCAAGTGCAGCGGCTGATGGAAGAAAATGCTGCCCTCCAGGCCCAGATTTCAGAGTTGCAGAAGCCCCAAGCAGTCAAAGAGGATAAAACCCTCCAAGAGTCCACTGAGGTTCAGGAGCCTCAGGAGTCCCCAAAGCTCCTGAATTCCCCAGCAGCCTGGGAGCCACAAGAGCCTCCAGAGATCAAGGGGTCCCAGAAGCCTCCAGATTCACAGAAGCTATGAGCCTGGGGGCCACTAGCATCCAAGAAGCCCCAGAAGGCCCAGAAGCCCCTGGAGCTCTCAGACACCAAGGAGCCCCAGGCAACTCTAATGGTTCATGAGCTCCCAGCAGCCTGGGAGGCACAGGAGCCCTCAGACACACAGGTTGCCACAGCAGTTCAGGAGCCCCAAAACTTAGAACCCCAGGACCCCCCAAATGTTGAGGAACCCCAGGAGACACTAAAATGCCAGGAGAGCTCAGCACAGATTAAATTTCTTGAGCTTCCAGCTTCCCAGGAGCTTCTGGAGCCTTGGGTGCCCCAGGAGCCCCTGGACCCTTCAGATGCTCAAGAGATCCTAGAACTTTCAACACTCCAGGAGTCCCTGGAGGGCCTAATAGCTGTGGAGAGTTTAGTAGCTTTAGAGTTTCCACAGGTCCCCAGTGGGCTAGAAGCTGCAACTTTCCCCCTAGAATACCCCTTAGCCTTCAATGGGGATGCCCAGAAGCTTCCTGAATTCCTGGTTCAACTGAATAGTTACATGAGAGTCAGAGGGCACCTGTATCCCACTGAAGCAGCCCTGGTGAGCTTTGTCGCCAACCGCTTCTCAGGTGAGGCAGGGAGGTGGTTTCAGCCCTTACTAGATATCCAAAGCCCCCTGTTGGAGCAATTTGAAAGTTTCTTACAAGTGCTCCAGAATACTTCTGACAATCCAGAAAACATGAGAGATGCCAACCACTACATTCGTCAACTCTGCCAGGGGGAGGGCTCTGTCAACCAGTATGCAACCCACTTTCACCTTATTGCTCAAGAGCTGAACTGGGATGAAAGCATTCTCTTTATCCACTTTCAAGAAGGGATTGTCAGTTCTATCCAGGATGAACTATCTTGCACAACCCCAGCCACCAACCTATCCAACCTGGTCACTCAGTACACTGGCCTAGAAGAGAAGGCTGATCCCAATCCGTCAGAAAAAAGCCCTTCTGAAGAGAGAGATGGGCCTGAAAGTCCACCAGCTGAAAATCAACCTGTACAGGCTGCAAGCAATCGCCCACATCTCAGTGAGGCTGAATGGGCCCGTCGGCGTGAAGCCCACTTGTGCCTCTACTGCGGTCATCCTGGTCATTTTGCCAGAGATTGCCCTGTCAAACCTCATCATACACAGCAGGTGGGAAACGTCGAGGCCCGGCGGTAAGGGGGACCCCGGGTGGGCCAATCTACAAATATGCATCCCCCTCTCTTCCAATATCCATGTCCCGTACCCTATGGCTGACTGTTGAAATCCGACTGGGAAGACGACAGTTCTTTGAGCAAGCGATGGTGGATTCAGACTCCTACAGAAATAGCATCGACCATTCTGTGGTTCTTCAACAGAAGTGGCCCATCCGCAATAACATCTTCCCTCTGATGCTCGAAACTGTCGATGGCCGTCCACTGATAAATGGGCCCATAACCAAGGAAACACCACCTGTCGAAGTTAAAATTGGAAACCATGTTGAAGGGTTCCAGTTTGACATTATTCACGCACCACGGTACCCTCTGATTCTTGGAATCCACTGGTTTGAGACACACGACCCAAACATTGAATGGAGTACGCGAACTGTGTCCTTTCCATCACGTTATTGTCATTACAATCGCTTCATGCACAGGTGGAATAGAAGACGTAGTGATGAAATAATTGCTGGGTAGATGCCTGCTGTGTACGATGAGGCTTGACAGGGCAACCACTCTGCCTCTGGGATCATGGACTGAAACTGAAAACTTTAAACTGCTTTTTTTCACCAACCCTGCATGCCCCCCTCTCTGAAACCTGCATCTTACAAGGCTATCTTAATTACAATTTATACTAATGATATTCATGAGAATAGATATTAGAATTAGATATTGAAAAAGGTGTAGCTGTTAGATTGGCTTGATTTCTTTTCAAAATTTTCTTTATCACAAAAATTGCAACATGTTTTCAATAAAAAAGACAAATTTACAAGTGATTTTTAAAAAGAATCAATAAACATTTGCCATTTCTATTTGCGTTTGAATTAATTATTGGCTTAGTTGAGGGAAGGGAATAAAAGACTAGTAAATTGGGAGGGAGAGAAGGAATTGGAAAATGTTCAAGGTTTGAGGAAGGTCTTGAACATTCCAAAGGTAGTGACAAGTCAGTGGGTGATGTGGGGGGGAAATGGAGAGAGTAGAGCTGGGATTGGTTGAGGAAGAAGGTAGAGTTAAGGTTGAGAAGAAGATTTGGGGAAAATTGGGAGGAGGTTAGAAAAATGATTCAGGGCAGGGCTAGTGGTGCTGAGGGAAGCATTAAGGGGAGGGAGGAAATGCCTACAAAAATAAAGGGAGCACTGACAGAGACATTGAGAAGCTTTGAAGGCAAATGTGTTGGACTTCACAAATTAACCAAAAAAAAAAACAAAAAACATTGGAGCAGGTAATGAGAACTCCTCAGACAAAATCTTATTCCCTGAAGCAGAAAGATTTTCCCAGTAACTCATGTGTATTAACCTACTCTTGCCAATGCACAAGAGCATGGTGTCAAGAATCAGTTTTCAACACTTGCAGATTGTTAGTAGCCAACTGTACCTTTCCTACACATACAGCTTGCCCTGCTCTGCTTAGCCAAGCTGCCTGCATGGCATACAGGGAGAGCCAAGTTAAAGAAAGGACCTTATGTCCTTGTGGGTCTGAGAGGGGACAGTATCCCAATTTAGCCGCATCCACCGCCCCCCCAACACACACACACACACACACACACACACACACACACACTACAGGGTTCAGGGGATATAGAGGCTAGAATCTCTAGGTGAGATGTGAGGAGTGATCCAAGCAGAACCTAATGCTTTTCCCCAGTGTTTTCAACTTTCCCTTGGGAGTCTCTTTTTGAAGCACTTGAAGAGGACTCTTCCCTTTATTTAGACAAATGATCATATACATTATCATAACTCTAGAAGGAGATAGGGGAGGGACTTGCCATTCATTGAGTCCCTAATATGCTCCAACCACAATGTCAGGAATTTTACACAAATTAATTATCTCATTACTTTTCAGAACAAGCCAGTGAAGTACGTTTGCTCCTATTTTGCCAATGAACAAATAGAATCCCAGCAAGGTTAGTTCATTTGCCCAAAGCCACACAACTAGTAAGTAGTGGAGGTGTGTTTGGTCTCCAAAGCCTGTGCCCTTTCTCCTACAGCATGTCAATCTCTTTAATGAAGTGTTAAGGGCCAAGCAAGATTGTGGCAGCAGGGAGTTAAGTGGGAGAAACAGTATAATGGAGGGGAAAACTCAGAAGGAAAACCTCTGAATTTGGATAATAGTCTCATTTTCTATATTTGAGTAGTAGTTCCCAGTTCCCTTAACTTCTTTCTTCATTTCTTAGAAGAATTCATATTTTTAACTAGTGGCTCATATTCCTTTCAGATTCCGTGGTATTTTTTATGAAAGTTGGGGATCTAGAAGCCTGTAGGGCCTACACATTACTTACCAGGAATTCTCTGCCTAGCCACTTCCATAACAAATTCAAATCCCATGCAGCCTAAAATTACACCACTTCTAGTCCTCACTGGCCTCCATGCCTTCCCCTGAACAGTCTAATGTATTTTGGCACTATACACTGGGCTTTGTAGTATGTGGGGAGGTTTCCTTAGGTATACATCCAACATTCCCACCCATTACACCCTCATACATGCATACTTAGCCTGGGTACAAGGGCAGAATCATCTACATCTGTACCCTTGGCAGCAAAGCCTAAGATAGTGCCTGGGACATAAAAGGTTTTCCATAATGATGGATTCTAAGACATTTAATTACCATTACTCTGAGAAAGGGACTTATTTATATATTGGTGCTTCTCTTTGGGGGGGGTTGGGTTTTTTTCCTCCTATTCAATCACTCATCTTTACTCCCAAGACTACACACTATTTTTCAATATGGAATTCAAGAGAAAAAAAGGAAAAAAGAGTAAACAGCCACAAAGAAAAAATAATACCTTTTATTAGTCAAAATATCCTGGAGCTAGGAAGACCAGCTCTGTGGTTTATTTGTTTGTTTGTCCTCCTCCCCCCCCAGGACTGAGATGATTCATGGGACACAGGGACAGTGCTGAGCAAACTGAGATGGTTGATCACCCTACTTGGACCCCATATCGTTCTATCTGGCAATAGAGGTTTATTTAATAAGTGCAATCCTTTATTTCACAAACAAGATCAATTGTCTAATCCGAATCACAGACTTTGTGAGTTAAAATAGACTCAACAAGTCAATTCTTTTAATTTTACAGATGAAGGAGCTAAAGCTGAGAGAAAGGAAGGTTATATAAAATGGCTGTGTTTTTCCTATCTCTTGATTCCAAATATAGTGCTCTCTTTTCACCATAAGCCACTATTCTAAACCAAAAAATCAAGTCTGTGGCTAGCATTTAGCTAAATACTGTGGACAGTGTTTAAAGTATAGCATGAAATGTTTACAATGTTGTCAAGAAGAAGAAAAAAAAAACTAGCAGGCATTAGACAGCTAGCTTAGATAACTAAATGCTGCAGTCTGTGATGGCGACAAATATATCAAATTGAAATATATCTGCAGATAAAAATAATAGCATTTATTTAATGAGTACTTTCTTTATGCCAGACAGTGTGCTGAGTGAATTGGATCTTTTTGACTATCTGCAAGGTAGATATCATTAGCCTCATTATACAAATCAAAGAATTGAAGTCCACTGAAGTGTGGTGACTTGCCAGGGGTCACGCTGTTAGGAAATGATGGATTCTAAAAACAAACAGATCTATCTCACTCCAAAGTTGAGGTTCCACCCAATGCACCACACTGCTTCTCAGGATGAATGACCTTTACTCTTTATGAACCACTTTAATAATATAAATTCACTAGATGTGAGTTCTAGTACACTAGAAAAAGAGATTAATTTGTTAAATCGTTCATTAAATTCAGCAATCATTTATTGAATGCCTACTATGTGTCAAGCACAGGTAGGAGGGATGAGAAGAAAAAAGGGAGAAGAAGAGAGGTAGAAACTGTGACTCATGGTATTTGCTCTGATCACAATTTAACAGGGGAAGTTGTTGTGTAGCACAGTGCTGTGAAATACAGAGGCGAGAACACTAATTCTGCTTGAACTGAAGAGGAATGTTTTGAGCTGGGCCTTGAAGGAATCTCAGTGGACACAAGAGGAAGTTAGACTTTCTAGATTGAGTGAAATACAAACAAAAAAGAAAGCTGGGGGATTGGGGGAAGGCATGGTGCCTTCAGGAGTATCTTTCTATATCACGGGAAAGAGTATGTGTGGTGGGGGGATGGTAGGTGTAGATGAGTAGATGAAATTTAACAAAGAGATTGAAAGTCTCAGGTTAAAGACCTATCTTGCTAAGGAGTTCATATTGTATCCTGTGGGAGATTTGGACTGGGATCTTTGTCTTTCTTTTCTGTTTTAGATTTGGGCGTATTTTTCTCTTTTGCTATAAAGTAATGCAAAATTATTTCAACAAAGTATATGTATCCGAAGTTGATAACAAAATTTAAAGGTTTTCCTTTCTCTCTGTCCCCTAGCTAACAAACTAGGAGGTTTTTAAGTAGGAGAGAAATATGATTTGTTTATATTTTAACAATTTGATAGTAATGTGCAAAATGACAATAGAGAAAGTGGCAAAGTGTCTCTGTTACTTTTATCTTTTTAGATTTTATGGAAATGAGTTTAAGCTGGGCTCAGTGGCTCAGCCTGTAATCCCGCACCTTGGGAAGCTGAGGTGAGTGAATTGCCTGAGTCCGCGGGTTCGAGACCCGCCTGGACAACTTGGTGAGATCTCATCTCTACAATAAATCAAAAAATTAGCTGGGCGTGGTAGCTTGCGCCTGTAGTTCCAGCTACTTGGAGGACTGAGGGGAAAGGATCACCGGAGCCCAGCAGGCTGAGGCTGCGGTGGCCGGGAGCGGCCACTGCACTCCAGTCTGGGCGACAGAGTGAGACTCAGACTCAAAAAAAAGAAAAAAAAAGAAAAAGAAATGAGTTTAAATAGTCAAAGGCAAAGAATTAAAAGTAAATTAAGCTCAATTTTCTACAAGTATTTATTTTGAGGACTTACTGTAAGAAAGGCATGAAGAACACACAAATATATACAGGACAACATACCTGCTGGAAATACTGTTACAATATAATAATGGACAAAGGCTCATAAATGA